AGGAATGACATTTTCAACTCATTTAAGGAGGCCAAGGCTTCACGCTACCCGGATTATTCAGACAAACAAAGGCAGGACGCAAAGGACATGACAGTGAACGGTGGTAACACGGAAGGAAGAGTGTTCTACTCTGGTCCTTTGATGAACAACAGGAATTTCGGCCGGTCAATGTACGTGAAAGAACACGCTTTAGCATCCACAAGGCCGGACGGCGGTAACGAAGGTGGACAAGAACGACCCATCGTAAACCAACAAAGAGGTGATCGGAAACCATACTACAGATCCGATTCGATGGAGAAACAAATAAAATCGCAAAACGAGGTATAAAGCAAATCTTGATTATCCCATCTCCATTGTCGGGCAGACAAATTTTCCATTGGTTTTAATGGCGTTGTGTTGTGTTGTGTTTGAGCAGTACGATACTAACGACTACAAGATGTACATGTCTGGTCCATTGTTGGCTCAGCCAAACAAAGTGGATCAGATGCTGGAAGAGCATGACCGTCAGCTCCAGGAATTCGCCAGGCTGTCACGTAAAACGCTGCATGGCAAAACCGGCTTATAAATGAACCGTGACTCTGTAATCTCTCCCTCTGCTTTCTTGATTGGAATGAGTCCAGGAGGAATCTGATTGATGATTCACTGGACTCAGAGAGATACTCTGCAATATATATACACATATACAAATGTTGCATTTAGATAGTGTGATAATGGAGTTTGGTCTTTCTGTAAATACAGATTTCTTTCCTTTACACAAGATGAAGATATATATATATACACACACAGGCGCAAGGTCAGCTGAGTTTTGTTTCAGTACATGGGCAAGATTGTTTGTATTCCCCAAGAGTCAACCATGATGACCTCTTGAAGCTTGACAACTTAATCGAGTTGTGTGTGTATATATACATCTGTGTCTCTCCCTTACAATTTGTACTAGGTTTTGATTTGGTCGATTTAATAAAAATAAACGCATTTATTTTGCACAAATTAGCCTTCTAAATTCAATTTAATCTTCACTACGGAATTAGCTAAAGTTTAAGCCACAGAAACGAACACTTCACCCAGAGAATTTGAGTATTCAGAAGGAAGAACCAAAACTTCTGACGGTTGAGAGAGAAGAGAGATATCATGTGGAGAATCAGAATTCGAAATCTTTCTCATTCACAGCAACTTTGTACTGTGTCAGAAGGTGTCCTAAGATTTTTCTGAATTTCATCATATCCCTCCAACGATGATATCTTCCACGAACACCGCACAAGGGATGAAATCTAGAATTGTATCGCGACAGAAAAAAAAAACACGAACTTGATGGACAACAGTGAATGGGTATGAAGAATCAGAAAGAACGTAGCGAAGATGAGATTGATTCTGATCACTGGAATCGGTTGATCCCTCACCCATCTACTTCTCTCATCACATTCCACCATGTCTCACGAAAAACAAAAGAAAGCGAGAAGCTCAAAAATTACGACGAAAAGGACGAGAGACGAGGACAGTGCTCCTTCTGTGAAGATGGAGATACACACACCGAAGCTATATATACAGAATATTGACAAGAAACCCTAATCTCTGGATGGATCGCCAAACTCAAACTAAAAAGCCTGTTAGGACTATATTGTAAACCCGGCCCGGCTCAATAAACGCAATTGAGCCCGTTTGGAAACAAGTGCTACATTATTCAAGGTAAAATGTTTTAATTCAGGTAGCCGTCTTAGCTCAGCGGTAGAGCGCGTGGCTTTTAACCACGTGGTCGTGGGTTCGATCCCCACAGACGGCGACTTTATTTATTTTTTGTTTATACAGATTCCTTACTTGGAAGGCCGTTAGCCCAAATAAGTCGATAAAGCCCATGAAGGGAAGTGATTGTATGGCCCAATCACCGATGGACAAAACAACACAATATTATTAAACCGACAACCATGCCGTCATTATTCATATTCATCACTTTACATTTATAACGTCAGCTGTTGGACAAAACTTAACCTTATTACACAAGCTATACAATATTTTTCTGGCAGAGCTTCTTCTAGAAATCTTCAAACAAGATCTATTCATTTGTACATAACGCAATTAATTAATATTATATATATATATATATATATCAAAGTATACATTCACCTATATGATTTAACTTAGTGTGTCTTCAATGTCATTTGGATAGACCTGAAGTAATGTCCCCCGGAAAGACGATCCATCACAAAATAAGTAAAGTACATGCATGTGCTTGTAGCATCAACGAGTAACAACAACATTCCACGTAAAATGCCAAAAATCCATACGGCACAACAACATACGCAAATGGGCAACGATCAGGGCATTATTACCTTCTCTGCGCCTTGAATCTTGAAACAGGCTTTGATGGCTGGGAACCCCTCGACGACTGTCACCGTTAAAAAAGCACACAGAGATAGAACCCGGTCATAAGAACTTCAACTACGTTTCTGCATCGCAGAGACACAACTGCCTTTTGTGTCCAAATGGATCGGTGCAAGTATTTACCTGAACTTGGCTCTGTCTCTCTGTTTCCAGATCACGGGCATGCTCTATGATCGATCCCGTGAAAGCCTGCGGGAGTTCAAAACAGAGATTATCGAGCTTAGTCAAATCGTATGACAATACTCCACTTGCCCGAGTCAAGTGTACCCATATGGCTCTACGCTGGAACCGGAAAAAGAACAATGAAATGTACCTTGTGACTATCGAATTCAGGCTTCGGTTTCTGAACAAGTGACTGCATCAAAAGAAACAAAGCCAAAGGTTGAGTTCTGTAGCAGAGGACTACACCGATCTAAACACTGAGCATTATAGAAGGCCAAATATCAACTAGATTTCAGATGCAAACATAGGAACATTCACTGGTGAGGGCTTATTGTGCAAGTCCCATGTTACCTCGTTCCTCTGTGGACCTACAACACTGGTTCCATCCTTTCCTCTTGAAACTGTAGGTTCCATCACTTCGTTTGTCGATGTTCCAAATACATTTTGCGGATGAATTCCACCACTTGATTTATCTTCTGGTCATATGTAAAAAAGAAAAATTTGCCACAGAGGGGTTCCTTATGCCTACATTATTAAATTTCTAATATCTATGCAGTAAATGATAAGGCCGACTTGACTAATTACGAAATGCCTAATCGGGCTAACCTTTGCAGAAATATTGTGTTGTTAGTCCTGTACTCTGCCATTTGAAATCACAAGAAATCTGAGACAGAGCTATAAAATACTGATGACACAGAGAATATCACACAGAAAGGTCTCTTACATTCATCCGCTCATCCAAATCATTGTGACCTTGATGTTTCTCCGCTAACATTCCAATAGCAGCGTCTTCGCCTCTTGGTCCAATACCAAATGATCTCAATGACTGTGTTAGAGTAAATCGATAAGAAATCTATCAACCATACACATAGTCCCAGATTTGAAATTTTACTGAAAGTACCTCTGAATATCTCGGCTCCCGATTGAGGAAGTTATGACCTGAACTCTTCTTATCCGGTACAGATCTCTCTCGTTCCCCAACATCACGATCACTCTGCCCGACAAATTGTGAACCGGATTCCCCATATTCAACCCTGCTGCTATTTGTTTCAGCTACAAATCCTACCTCAACATTATTCTCATAGTACTCCGCACTTTCTGTGTCGGAATCATGTTCTTCATCTCTATCATCCTCGTTTTCTCCCTTCAGTTCTTCCATTTCAAGTTGGTCTAACCTGGCAAGAATTCGCTCATATTCATCGTCTTTAACTTCGTCTTTAACATTTTCTCTTTCGGGAAACCCATGGGGTTCTTCTTTTTCTGATTCGGTCACAGTTCCAGAAGAGCTTTCCTCCACATACTCTTCTCTAATCTCGACAAGACCTTCCTATAACAATTGTAACACAAACACGGGTGACAAAAACGACAATTCAGATGAATAAAATGCAAAATACTCAATCTTCTGAAGATATACATAACAAATTACCGCCGCTTCTGAAGCAGTTCTTGCGAAGAATGAAGCCTCTGTTTGAAGATCCTCGATCTCAGCTTTAAGCGAGTTAAGTTGAGACTTCAGAGTCTTGTCTCTTCTCTTCAAAACATCGACGGTTTGTTTTGATGTTCTCTCAGCGTAGTAATTCTCGCCCAACAGCACCTGGGTTTAAGTGACATAAATTAAAGCCTTCAAATGAGTTCAAAGCAACCTGCAATCCTCCTAAACCCAAAATCCCATAGGAAAAGATTATCAAGGACAACCCGTGAGAAAGTATATAACCTGTTAAGAATATTTGTTTTTTCTGCAAAATTCAACTAGGAAAAGAAGAGCAATAACAAGGAACTCTAATTCTTGCAACAAGAACGAGACATCATCTGAGAATTCCCGGAAAACCAGACAGAAAATAATAGATAACTATGAACCCAAACTTCAACCAAGAATTCGAAGAACCAGCTAGCTATAAAACGAACTAAGAGAAACACGATCTCCCCAAAGAATCTAAAGAAAAAAACAAAAACTATCGTAAAGACCTACCATGAACTCATTGGTGTGAATCAATCGACCTGGAAAAAACGCCAGCTTCCCGAACGGAACCTATCTTAAAGCAAAAAAAAAAATAGGACATAAAAAAAAATCACAATTTAGACCAAAGCGAAGAAGGAACATATTCTATCGCCCATGGATACATGACAACTCACCATTACATCGTGATTGAGCTGGTCAGGAAGCTTCTTGACGAGGTTGATGAGATTAGCGTTATCGACACCAAATTGATCGAGACGATTCATCTCGTTCTGCTTCTCTCCGATTTTCTCCTCCACTCGCTTCGCGGCCTTCCTCGCCTCATCCTCCGGAAACATAGACGCCAACGGCGTCACCGTCCCCTTCGCCGGCGCTTCCATTTCCGGGCGAGGGTTTTAGCAAAAGCGGAAACAGTATAAATCCGGAGAGGGACGCGAATTTATATAACGACCGGTGAACATTAAAGAACCATTGGGCCGAAAACGGGCCGACCCATGGAGCATAATTCAGTTGGATTACGGGTCGGGTTTGATCACATGATGTGATCCCCATGTAATGTAATATACGAATAAAGAATAGCCTAAATTGCTTATATCCGAAACTGTTCGTTATGATTTTAATATGCACGAAACCAATTCAGGGTTCAAACACCCTTTTTTTCACGAATTAAGGATACTGCTATTATTTTTTAAGTCACATGGACGATCGATCACTGTTTTTTTTTTTTATACATTGGGAATCCCTTATGTTACCCTTTCGGACGCGGTTAATTAAAGAGAAAATAACAATTATAATTAAATTTAAATTTTTATTCAAAGAATTATAACTTGATTGGATCAAATAAAGGGGAAAAATAACCTAACCCAAAACAAGCACCAGTCCGTTTCCCCGTTCGCGAAATCGAACCACCTCGGCGTCGAGAATTCATACTTCTCGTCGATAACGGCGCCGCCGCTCGGATCCTCCACCGAAGCCGCAGATTCCATCTCACGAAACGAAGATAGAGACAGTAGGAAGAAGAAGACGAAGAGGAGAATCTGAAAAGATCCGATGGGGTTAGGGTTCCTCTTCGTCCAGTTCAGAGGATCAACCTAAACGGCGTCGTCTTATTTTCCCTTAATGTATGAAAACGGCGTCGTTTCCGTCTACCACTTTTAAGTAAACTCCACTAATAAATCATAGATGATCGTTGAACCACAATCAAGAACTCTAAGAAATATTCCTTCCGTACATATATATATATATATATATATGATAATTCTCTATATTATTCTCAAATTGAATTACGCTCCAAGATTCTAATCTATTGGTAAGTAAGATTCCTATAACGTACCACTAGGTTTTAAATTTGATTATCAAACAAGACGTCCAGCTTTGAAGGTTGAACGTTGAACGTGACGAGTCAGTGACGTACGTACGGATGGGTATTTAGCCCAAAAATTGAAATCTCGGTCCAAAACATTGTACTGTATGGTTCGTACCGTACGCATTGAACTCAACACCAAGTGGTGGTTTCTAATTCTACCTACATATCTATTTATTTTGTCGCTTTATGGTAAACCTACAAACTATATTTTATTTTATTTTTTGGTAAACATCAACAAACTATATTTACCGTTTTTCGTGGTACTTACTGTTTTTTATTCGACAATTTACCAATCTGTATGTAGGCTCTTTTTTTTTACCATGTTTATTTGATTATATTTCAGTAATTAATTTCACGTAATACAACTGAAAATGTGATATTGTCAGGAAACAAAACTGTGGGCATACAAGTTATAAAAAATAAAAGTAATCGTAAACTGAGCAAAATCCAAAACGTATTTGTTTCCATCCGAGCCACGCCACCAATCCACGACGCGACACATGTACAACATATAAGATATATATGTATATATATAGAAGGATATAAATCATGATGCATGGATTATTATTTAATTTATGATAATGCAAATCTTTTGTATTTATCTCGTTGCATGGTTTTCTGTGTTGCGACTTTGGGTCTTTTTATTTTAATTTACGATTCATTGTATCCACATAATTAAGATTCTCTGCAAAAGGCCATATAGAACTATCATCAATCATATTATACCATACAGAAATTAAATAATATGTAAATATTTATGCGACTACAGCTTATTATTTAATTATCACTAAATTCGAAAATCTGAAGTCATTAGGGCATGAAAACCTTAAAGAATCTAGTTTGCAGAAGACCGACTCTAACTCAATCAAAAGCCTCCAAAACAGAAAACTACAAAATGACGTAATATTTCATTTTATAGATCTAAATTTGTTATTAGCATTGCACATTTATTTTATTAAAATACGAAATAAATACATACATGTATAAGAATAAGATAATGGAAATAAAAAGAGAAGGGAACACATGTGAGGGAAGGGGAAGGAGAGATCGACACCTCCTGCTGCAATGCATGACCCTCTCTTATGTTATTTCGCCACGACCCTCGGCCCCCCTCCATCCTCCTCTTCCCCACATTTGTCCCTTTCTCCCTCCTATACATATGCGTATCTATATGTATATATATTATCCTGCATATATATATATCTCCTCTCTCATCACCATCTTTCACTTCTTCATTGCAACCTCTCTCTTCTGAACCAAACCCATCTAAAACCCTAACCCTCTTTTTTTTTTTTCCCGAGTTTCATTCTGTTCGTAGAGATTAATATATACATACAGTGGAAAGAAATGGAGGCAATCTGTACGGAGCAACACAGGTCAGGCCATGTCAGGAGGCCGACAGTGGAGATCCCTCCGAGAAAGCTCCTCTTGTCCGCCAAAACCGCCGCCGCCAGTCCTGGACGCGAGCACAAACTCAACTGGAACAAGACCAACAAGATTCCGACCACCGACCACGATTCCCACAGCGACAACGATTCCAGAGAGTACTGTTACGACTCCGACTCCGACGATCCCTACGCCGCCGATCATTTCCGCATGTACGAGTTCAAGATCCGGCGTTGCACCCGTAGCCGGAGCCACGACTGGACCGACTGCCCCTTCGCTCATCCCGGCGAAAAAGCTCGCCGCAGGGACCCCCGCAGGTATAGTTATTCCGGTGAGGTTTGCCCGGAGTATCGCCGTGGCGGCGATTGCAGCCGTGGAGACGACTGCAGCTTCGCTCATGGCGTTTTCGAGTGTTGGCTTCATCCCTCGCGTTACCGTACGGAGGCTTGTAAGGACGGTAAGCACTGTAAGAGGAAGGTTTGTTTCTTTGCTCACTCACCACGTCAGCTTAGGGTTTTGCCGCCGGAGGATGTCTCCGCCGGAAGCTGCGGCGACGCGTCGATGACGTCGGCGGTGTCTTTGTCGCCAGCGTCGGTTTTGAGCGGCGGAAAGAATCGGTGCTGCTTGTTCTGCCACCACGGCGTGGGGTCTCCGACGAGCCCTCTTCTAGGTTTGTCGCATCTCACACGGTCACCGTCGGTATCTCCACCGTTGTCTCCGGCGAAAAAAACCGCCGTGCTGTCACGGCTGAGGAGCCAGCTCGGTTCTGCAGCATACAAGGATGTTTTGAGCGAGCTGATGAGTTCTTTGGATTCCATGACCCTCGCCGAAGTTCTGGCGGGTTCGTCATCGCCGGTCACAACTCCGGTGGCCACTTCATCGGCTTTGATATCCGCCGGGACGACCAACCACCGTGTCCCGTGGCTTGACGTCGGTTTCGGAGGAGAGAGAGATATCCAGCAACAACAACAAAGTCATTTGCAGTTTGCTTTTTCGCCTTCTTCACCAAGTTTCCTCAACAGTCCAAAGCCGGCGAACTTATTCTCCGATGATTCCTCACCTCACGGCGGATTAAGGGACCGCCCCATGGCGGCGTCGGCGGCTTTTGAAGACGGTTGCGGTGTTCCCGACCTCGGGTGGGTGAACGATCTTTTGACATGAAGATGATGACGAGAGATGGACGGTGGAGATTCTCCGGGATATGTGTAAATTAGGGTTGGACAGCGTCTTGAACAGGGCAAAACGGTGCGTATAATGCTGAAGAAGATGAAGCGAGGGCCGTTGCTCTATTGGGATTCGTTTTGGAGATTTTTATCTTAAGGGATTGTTCATTACTATAATATATGCTAATTAAGGGTCTGTAATATGTCTTTTTTTTTAATGTCTTTTGGTTTGTTAATAACTCTCTTCGTTAAGAGGGGAGGGATTTGATCTGTTGGAACTTGTAATCTCTGGATGGAAACTCCGATGCATGCAATGTTTTTTTTAATTATAATTAAAGCTCTTCGTGTCTTGTTAAAATATGGTGTTTACTATATATGAATGCGTTCATAAACAACACTTAACATTAATCCACGTGTTTAATCAGTTCATACCGATATATATATATATATATATATATATGTATATATCCGATTATGGTGGGAAATAAATTGTTTCCTAGGACGTACTCATCCGAAGACAGCTGTGCCCGTAAGGGATGTGTTTTAAATTTCTCTAAATTTTAAATCATTAAACAGTGATAATACAAACATCGTGTCGGGGTGTGGCGGTATCACGTGGGCCGCATGACCCACGGCTCTTTATTTCCATTCTCCTCCGTTCGACTTCGTAACATACTTTTCATTGATAAAAACTCAAAATAGATATTTACATATCCAACGGCCACCTATTCACCTCCATGCATATATGTATATATGATTGTATTATATGTGGAAGTGTCATAACATCGGGCATTATGACAGAGGGGGTCCATAGCCCCATACATGCTCTTTTAAGTGAAGGAACTTCAAATTAATAAAATATCATTCTGGTCCATGGAATGGAATCTTGCCATCCCCCCTTTTATAATAATTCTGGTTCATGCACTCTCCCCCATCTTCCTGGTCCTCCATGACAGGAATCATTCCATTTCTCTCTTTCTCATGTGTTTGTCTCTGTGTGTATGTATGTGCGTGGGTCTAAACACACTTTTACGTCTCACGACGTGTCTATGCATAATTTGCATGGTCTTTTTCGTCATGTGAAGTGTCCACTCCACTTTGGTTTCATTACAAATGGTTGTTGTTCGGTTATCCGGGATCAACTCAAACGGCAAACTCGACCAGAACGCAGCCACTCGCGTTTCCGAACAATATGGAGCTATAACATGTCTGAAAATTGATCCGAAAGTCATGACATTCTAACTCTTAATACACTATATGGAAGCAAATATCCTTGTTCCCCTCATGCAGATCCAATTAATGTATGCTTCTCATTGAAATGATCGACGTTTTCATACCCTAACAGAACCAACCAAAAAAAAAAAAAAAGAAACCGAGGTTGACATAATTTACTGGGGAAGCCATAGATCTTACTTGTGGTTGCAGCTTCCTGGAGGAAGCCAAGCTGTGGGAATGGGAGAACCCAGATGGGTTTTCAGAGCCAAATGGACGTAGTCTGATATAAACCGAGTAATGGAAATTTCACACTTGCAGCAACAACCTACCGGCGGAAATTATACTCTTTTTAGTTGTCTTTGCAGTTTCTCGAGTAGCTGGAAGATGATCTGGACTGGGACTGAAAAAACTCGAGCGGAGTTCCGGGACCAAATGAACGTCTCGTTGCATTTGGTGAATCTGATAACAGAGGCTCGTAAACCGGGTTTCTGTTCTTCGGCAGAGCGATGGATAATGGCGAGACCTCCTTCTCTATAGACCGTTGCTGGGGTTCAATGTTCCCGAGCGTCATTATCGGCCCGCCCATCCGTTCAGCTTGCTGGAGTATATTGATCTTGCTCGGTCTGTATGTGTACCGGAAGTACTTCAATGCTAGAATCGGGCCCATGCCTGCTCCAACTATAAGCTGAACAAGAGGAACAAATGGTGTAAAAATCGAAATTTTCATATCGGTAAAACGTCTATATTGTTTCTTATCTAAATATGGGATCTTCTTCTTGGAATCTACCCTAAAGCGGTCTTTATCTAAAGCTCTTAAATCGACTCAGATTTATAATCAGCTTTTTTTTTCCTGGATAGCTCATGCAGACTTACACGAAGATGGAAGATGGTAAATAGATACTTACGAACATCGTTATCCAGTAAGAAGGCTGAGAACAGAGGCGGAACATGATGGTGTACATCCCGGATGATGGTATGGCACTGAAGAGCCAGTTGATTCCATAGAAAACAACCAGATTTCCCCAAATTGCCATGTGTTGCAACACCGTAAAGGAACTGCATTTGAATGATCAGGAAAATAAACGTAAGCAAAGATTTCAGAAGAGATTTGGTGGATCTCTGGTATGTAAAGCAGATGTGTAATCCGGCATGCATGTCTAGTCAACTTTCACATGCATGCTCCATGCTTGTGGTTGTGCAAGTTTATTATCTATAGCTTTGCATATCTGCAGAGCAAGAAAACGTACTTGGTCTCTAGAGCCACGACAAAGGCCTGCAACCATATACATCCAGAGAGAGCCACCATTCCAAGCTCCTCCATTTCACTTTTCTCATAGGCATATGCATGAATGCTGATTGCAAATACAACGATTGCCTGTAGACAAAGTCCGATTGAGATTTATGCAAGGAAGACGAACTAAAAACCTAGAGATATCCGAGGAAAAAAATATTCATCAAGAGAATCAATAAGCTGTCTGGACCAGTTGGGACAATACTAATGGGTATATCTAGATATTTGATCTCGAAAACCTGATTTTTTAATGAAGAAGATGCACCAAGAGTATATATGAGATTGCAGTACTCACATGAAATAGAGATCGGCCAAACCAACCCGCAAACGTGCTTGGATTAAGGAGCCTAAATTGTAGGGGAAAAGAAAGAATTAGAAAATATGCAGTTGATCGCTTGAGCTGGTAGCATTGTTTGGTTTCACGACTAAACAGACGATCAAATCGATAAAAAGCATATTTAGAGAGAATAATCAAGGGAAGGTGGCATACCTTCCAGCTTGGCAGTAGAACAAAATTTGAGGGTGCTGCATTACTGTTGCCTCACTAAGATCTTTGTCAAGAACACTGACAAGGACGGGAATACTAGTGTAGAAGACGTTGTAAGCCATCAAGCTAACAGAGTTGAAAAGACTGGTTCCAGAAACGCCGGAAATGAATGAAAAGCTGTATATGTTCTGTTGTCAATATCTCCGAGAATTGCATACTAGTAGTTATCGAGAGTGAAACTGAGGAAGAGATGAGAAACTTACAAAATCTGGATGAAGCATATCAACAAAGATTTGTAAAAGGAATACTGTGACAAAAATGCTGTCCGGTTATATGAATACCGCCCATGAACAAGAATCAGTCTCTTCAGAAACCTGAATCCTGCAATCAGTCCATCAAGATCCAATGGAATTAGTTCTGACTGACAAAAACAATGTGATTGTGCCTCACAATTAGTAGAATCACTCTTTTGGTTTATTTCCCTCAACAAAGACTAAAATCATATTATCAAGTGGGATGGCAGGAGTTAAAAGGTCGGGCTCCGGTAATGCAATATGTTGGACAAAATTAAAGCACCCAGTAAGTAGTTCGTGGTAAAGGCAAAAATATAAAAGTAATATACTTGTTTTATAGTAAAAAAAATGACATAGTATATTACGAGAACTCTTACTTCCGATGCTATAATCTGCAGCTCTAGCTGCCTGCAATCCCTCTCTTCCGCTGATGCCGACCCCAATGTCAGCTTGCTGTATCATTCTCACATCATTCCCACCATCACCAATTGCAAGTGTTCGATAGTCGCATGATTTTAAGATTTCAACTAGCTGTCAAGGAAAGCAACAAATTAAAAGCAAACATCAGAAAGGATAAGCCTATAAGAGCAGCTGGTAAAGAAAGTATAAAATATTAAAGGATTTACAAAGAGAAATAACAGCACCAAGTTGGGAGAAAAACCTGTGCTTTTTGTGAAGGCGTGACACGACAACAGATAGCTGTCCTCGAAAGTATAGCTAATTCAACAAAATCCTTGCGATGGTACTTCAGTGCAATTTCTAGAGCCCATCCGTCGATGACAAATGCAACGTCCTTAAGAAAAGGATGATGAAGTTATATGCCTTTCGGTTTTGATGTTGAAACAAGTAAAATCTCGACTCTTTAAAACAAATAAAGCCATAGATAATCTCAAAGGTAGGCCACTCCAGTATTACATAAGGAAGCAGCAGAGATGCAGTCCCGCATGGGAAGAGGGAGAGAGAGAGAAGAGTGCAGTCATACTGATGGAATTTAATGCAGTACCTTAGGTTCTGAAGTTGTAATTCTCATCGTAAGCAGAACCCTTTCTAAACTTCGACAAACTTCTTCTTCAGTTTTACCATCAATCAACAGAAGCTGACCTTTCGGTTCTGATATAACATGATAACAGTGGAAAATCGTGATAAGTAGCTTTATCCGAACATTTCTAATGCAAATAACAATGAAAAAAAGAGAGAAATTATGGAAAGGTACCTGGGGAGATAAAATTGCACGACAGAGCAATCTGTATGGCTGTATTCTGCTTATCTCCTGTCAGCATCCAAAAGTTTATCCCTGCTTTTCTAAGCGTCTCGATTGTTTCTGGTACACCATCCTACTCAATTCAAGAAAAACATATGAAGTTCCTCTCCAGAGAATGGTGTAATATATATTACCATTACATTCTCTGCCTGAACATTTACATATTCACCTGTAAGCGATCTTCTATTGCAGTGACACCCAGAACTTGAAGATCATATTCTAACCTTTGACATACCTCAGCAACTCTCCACTGTGACACAAGAGAAAGCATCAGTTGGAGAACACCAAGTGCATCAATTACTCAATTAGGGTTGACATGAAAAATAATAACATTTGATAGTTGCAATAAAGAAAACAAAAACACAAGACAGAAGATTGTTCAAATTACCTCTCTATCAACCAGAACACTATTAGCCTCTTTAAACATCACAGACCACTCAACATATTCATCTTCTTTCAGTTCCCGCCAAGCCAAGCACAATGTTCGAAGACCCAGCTGAGCATATTGTTCTACAGCTTCCCCAATTGTTCGAGTTTGCTGACCTAAGACATGCAAATACTGGTCATCAACTCTGATCACTTTGGTACCGAGTCTACCGATCCTTTTTCCCTCTAAGTACACATAAGAGTTCGTTTTACTCACCAGCACATGCGTAGGGAAGAATTGCTTCATCTGCCCCTTTTGACAAAAGAATAATTTTCCCAGTTTGGCAATCTTTCACCACAACTGACATTCTTTTCCTGTCCGAAGTAAATTCAAGAGTTTCTAGAACCTCATAACGAAGTATCAAACCATTAAACCTGATCTCTGCACCCATTCAAGAGGAGTTAACAGCAAATCAGCTTTATTTTTTTGGTACTTACTTCCACAAAGACCAAAAGAGAACGAGTTTTTACCAAGCTGATTGGCATTCTTGCTGACAAAGACCATATGCAACTTCGCAGCAGCATTTACAAGAGCATCCTCATCCTGAGACTGAGCCTTGTATAGAATATCTCCAGCTTTGCTATAGAGTGGAAGCCAAATAAGTCATAAAGAAATGGAACTTTGCAGAAGAAAGGAGTAAATGCCCAGCTCAACTAGGAACTAAGGAGATTTTTTTCAGATGTTTGACTGACAAAAACAGATACTATAGAACTGGAATTTGTTTTCAAGAAATGTCGAATATACCTCTGCACAGGTATTACTGTATTGCAAATGGCCATAACTGTAAGAAACCGGGTGACATCAGGAGCTCCACTGGCAACAGCATTAAGCAATTGTCTATCTGTCCATTTGGATTAATAGAATTAACGAAATGCCTATTCCGTTGACGTTTACTCAGTTATGAACAAATATAGTAAAATTAATATGGTACATAGATTCAGTGGACATAAAAGAAACAGAGAAATAAATTTTGAAACCTTTCAAAGCATCTCCATTCTCATTTCCGTAAAATATGCCACTGATACAACATCTTCTAAAAATCATTCTGTTGTCTGTAAGGGTTCCGGTTTTGTCCGTCAGAATGTACTCGACTTGCCCAAGATCCTCGCTTATTGCTGTGCTGCCACACATAAACACATGATAAAATAACAAGTATGAAATTTGCATGTTCAAAGCAGATGAATTCAAGAAATCTGCCTCAGTTATTTACTTACTTTGCTGCATGGGATGGTGTACCGGTATCTTGATCCATCATTTCCTCATCCCAATCAATAAACTTTGCATATAGACCCTTTACAAGATCCAGAGAAACCTGCAGTATGGAATAATACCAGCTTAACCGAAACGGACATGCAATGATTACATAGATAGCATTAATTCAAGAATGGAAAACCCAATATCCTTTCTCCGTGACAAAAAATCTCTAAGGTATTAGTTTTCCCAGTTTAAAGCTAGTGAGGCTGCTACAAATTCCCAAAAAGAAGTGATGAATTTTATTACTCGCCTTAATAGAGATGGGTATCATGATGGAGCATAGAAGCTCAAACCGCAGTGGAATAACCAACAGTTCATACCACGGAGCTTCCTCTGGATAACGCACATACCATTGCTGCAAAAGCCAAACCAAGTTCATATCTCAGAAATGGACCAAATATACAAGAACAAGGAAAATGGACACAAAAATTTAAGAATCTGTGCAGCATGGCAGCATCACATCAAAAGTTCTGAGGCAGAAATTAAACCTTTCTTGCTTCTGTGTCTTTCCATACATTCCCAGCTACACCTAGGACCATAACAACCACGATTTGGAACACGAATATTGCTCCAGTCAATTTGTCAATCATTGCATCCACAGCAGTAAGCTTTGGCTCAGGTATACCCCTACTCATTCCAAGCTTAGTTTCGTTGCCTTTCATTAAGAGGAAAAACACCAAATTATCCATTCAGATGACGCCGATCATATGGCTGGCAGGAACTTTGAGAACGCATAATTAACAGTTAATTAAATCCATCCAAGACATTTCTTGAAGCAAGTACCTGTATAGATAGCCACTCCACAAGCCCACTCCGTATTTCTCAAGTAACAGGACTGAAGTAGGGTATTTTTAATGGTTAGGGGGCAGACATCATTGTCAATGAATGGCGGGAACAACCGCACGTTTGCATCAAACCTTCGAATATCCTTATCCGGTTTAGGACATTCAATCACACCCTGAGAAAAATGAGGTTGGTGAACTTCAAATCCACTGGCAGGAAAACCCCCAGAAAATATTTAACATAGGCCACAAGAGGTATTACTTTGATTTTGTGTAACAATTCTAAATCAATTCCCGTGCAAGCTGAAGGTATGATTCTTGTCTTCAGATCAGTTTCACCATCTAAAGCAGCAGTCTGCAAGACAGATTTCACTTTTTCTTTTAGAATTGAGAATTGCTTCCTTCACATCTGAAAGTGATTGAGAAAATTTACCTCCACATAGCAAACACCTTGAGAATCAGAAGTGCCAAGCAAAACTAGATCACAGGGGACTTCATCATTCTCACGCAGCCATACGATATTACCCACCTGAATATCCTGTGCCTGGATCTGATGTGTAATAGTAATCAGTAAGTTAACATAAAAAATACACAAAGATTATGTAACAGAGAACATATCTGGCAGAAGTAATTCATACATGTTTCTTGACGCCTCGTCTAACAACCCAAACTTCTTTCTCGTTTGCTTTCTTATCAGAGAGATACCTATTGTAATCATCCCAAGCTTCTTTGGAGGCAGAGACAGCAAATATGAAAATTAGAGGACCCCATGTACTGGCCGGATTTACAGGAGTGATAAGGGACCATAGCTGAAGGCATGCTATCAACAAGAAATATTGGTTCATAAACCGGCTGAAAAAAGAAAACTTGATTAGAGTATGCCAAGCAGAGAGAGAGAAGAAAAATATCTTCCCTGAGAAACTTTGCTGCAACTTTTTTTTGGCAAAGGTATTCACTGTCACACACCCACTACCCCGAAGGTAGGGTTTGAACACATGATATTTGGAAGGAAGTGAACAAGAACCCTAACCACTAGGCTACGAGCCTTGGTAGCTTTGCAGGAAGTTAAGAACAATGAAATCACCATACATCAAATGAATGATACCTGAATTGCTCCCATAAGTTCTTTGGAAGAAAGTTCCAAAGAGTATACTTTCTGTTAGATATACGGTTGTCACAGTAAAGCTCTTTTGAAGCTTCATCATCATTAATATAGACGAAGCGCTTCATCGTTTTTGCCGGGAAGCAAAGACTTCTCTAAATGTTCATTCTCAAACTTGGGTAGACTAACTATGGTTTGGAATCGATAACCTGCAAAAGCAGACCAAACAAACATACAAAGACCAAAGGAGAAGTTTGAATCAACCAATAGGGTTTAAAACTTAAAATGCAGGAAGATACTATGATCTGAATCAAATCTTATTCAGATGAAACCAGCACATAATTGTTGCATATAAACCAGAAAAGGCATAATTCATCCCAGTTAAGGCCCCAAGACAAGTGTCCTTTAGGTTTAGGATGTGCATTAGAAGAAATGCTGCGGACAGGAAGTTCAGAATGAGAGTCTAAACTTCTGAAAAGAACACACGCACAGAGAAAACCTCAGGCAAGAGTCAGTTCCTTAACCTAGGACCACTACGGAACCATCAAAGCAACAACAGTTATATGCATCACATAACCAGATGAGTCAGTATGATTCGTTATTACAATTGCAGTTCATGGTTCAATCTATCCGCTAAAACCAAGCTGCTATGTCACTGCACAATATTAGATGACCCGAAACCCGATCCTCAAGAAGCAAAAACAACAACGACTAAACATTTCCAAATCAAATTGAATCGAATCGTACCAAACGCCACAGATCCATCACGAAATAGCTTAATTCTGACAGAATTGTTCCGTTGAGATGAGACGAAAATCTCGATAAGCACCTTTACCAAAAAAAAATCTCGATAAGCATATCTAAGTCAGATAATTTCATCTGGCAAAACAGGATTCGACATTCCGATTCAGACATAGATCACAAATGAGAAGGATCAATTTCTCACCTCCCCGATCAAATGCCAAGCTCGATTCCTCCCCGATCAAATGCCAAGCTCGATTCCTCCCCGGGGACGATCTTGCCGACCTTCTTGCCTTCTTCTGCTCTGTTCGTCAGACGGGAGGAGGTAGTGATCTCCTGCGGCGGCGCGTTTTTTGACTTGTGTGGAAATCGGCCCCACGGGAGAAAATGAAGAAAGCTTTTTCCGTTTTTGTTAATCCGAGAGGGACTGTTCGCTGTTTTTCCGCATCGAAAACTACATTAGACCTGTCTTCCAGAGATGGAAACGTTGCGAAAAAGCAGAACTTGGGCCGTTATTGGGCTTAGGTTACTGAAAATCCACGTGGCATTTTTTAGGTACGTATTCAAATAATTCCTCAGGTTTCTAGATTTCTAGACATTTACGATTATAACCTTCACTATTTCTGTGTGGCCTCCCCTCCGAGTTGGTCGTGCAGCGAAGGTGTTCGATTAAATGCTTAGCTGAGGCAAAAGGCTTCTGCTTTTTCCCGTTTCGTCGATTTTCAAATTTCTTTGGTTCCGGCGAAAACTGGAGAATGGCGCGTTGGAACGTTAGCGACTGCAATGTATTTGGGATGGTAACAAGGCATTTCGCGACGAAACCGAAACCGAAGATGAAGCCGATCGAGCTGAAGACGCCGCCGGAGCAAACCCAGACGATCACCCGAGTGATCTTCGATATTCTGAAGGAGCATGGCCCTCTCACCATCTCTGAAACCTGGGACCGTGTCAAGGTACGGACTTTTGCAAACCCTTCTTCCAGTTTACCGGAGGTTTTTCGTTTTTGGTTGTGTTGTCGTTGGTCAGTAGGAGTGATTACAGGGTTGCAGTTTTTTGGAGAGAATTTGATTGCTGGAATGGTTGTTAGCAACTGGGCAAAACAGAGGACTGGAACAGCATTTGAATAGTTGTTGCCCGGATTGGACATCGGGTTTGGGTCTAATGTTTTCGAATTCAACTGGATCATAGTAAGATTCGGTTGGAGCACCAGAGGATTCTTTCCGGATCCAAGGAGAAAAAATTGCTATACCGAGGCCTAAATGGTTATCATTTTGTATTTGAACGCAGAAGGAGAACACAGATACCATAATAAGATTATCAAAAAGGGTGGAACTTGCAGGTTCTCGAAAACACAAAACATGAGATAATTATGTGAGGAGGGCGTTTTTCATCGATACCATACTTATCTAATCTCGTCTTGAATCTTACTATGGAGATTCGTTCACGTCTTGCTGGACAGGAAGTTGGGTTGAGAGGGCTGACGAGTAAGCGTCACATGAAGATAATACTACGGTGGATGAGGGAGAGACAGAAGCTGAGGCTCATTTGCAACCATGTCGGCCCTCACAAGCAGTTCTTGTACACTACCTGGTTCACTAAGCATAATCCTAAACCGGCCGGTCGCTCCGCCGGGCCGAAGCTGCCCTGACCCAAGTGATGTGCATGTATGTACACAGCCGCTTCTAATTCTCTTTGTGCGAATACATACATACATACATATATATATATATATATTACCCAGGCTTGACTGATTCTAATTCCGTCTTCAAAATTTTCACATTCGTCAATGTTTTTTTATATTTTCGTTTGTCATCTTTGTTTGGATGAATCATCATAACCATACCTGACGATACTTCCCTACTGATTCCTGACCGAGTTTTACATTTTCTCAAAGAGGTTATGAAGCTTGACATAGTCTTATATAATATGTAATTATGCTTGGTAATCTATTTCTATTCAACAAGGTACAAATGGGCCGAAAGATGTGGCCCAGAATCCAGTCTCACGCCCACAACACGAGCGGTGGATCATAGTTCCCGTCACACGTGTCGGATATGAAATCTGGAAAATTGGATAACTGGACCCCACTATCAAACAAAAGAATCCAATAAAAAGAGGAGCTTCGTCAAAAAGTTTTTTTAAAAAAAAAAAACACCGTGGCGGCGAGATTCAAAGAACACGGAAGACGCTCGTGCTACATCGACACGCGGCAAAACATCGTGACAAGGATGTCCGTACGTAATGCGCGTGAGACACGTGCGGGGCAATGGGGCGGTGAGTCTCACGTGAGAGAGGCGCGTGAGTGGATGACTGAAACCCAAAATCCACTCCGCAGATTCCGCCGACAGACTGCGGACCCCACTGAAAGCGGCTACCGGCCCTAACCACATTTGAATTCCACCGCTCCATATATATATGTATGTATTTGTGAGATTATTATAAAATGTTTATGTAAGATAATTTCAAATATCCACTCAAGAGAATATAACCACCGGTTACAGATTAAAATTAGAAACATATGTGTGTTTACACTGATTTGGATTAAAAAGAAAGTTTTGGATTGAGTAATGATTTAATATTGGTGAATGAATATATTCCCATCAATTCAAAAAGGATATTTAAAGACAGAAGACGCGCCTTGTGGAAGGCGAAAGTACACGTGCCGCCCACCAGACCGCCGACGTGTTCCCCGTCAACTCCAAACTCCGTAGGTCCCCTTATTACGCGCCTACCCTTTTATTTTATTTTTATATTTACGCGCATACACAAAAATGTTACAATACAGTCAATTACATTCGTTTTAAATTAACTTTATAATAACAAATGTTGACATTTTTATCGAGGCAAAAAATAATTTTCAGCTAGTATTTCTTTAGAAACCAATAGGGAAACGTGTGGCAGAATATTATATTTGACATATTTTCAAAGCTACGTAACGTGGATATCACTTTGCTCCTGCCCTAACTCGAATAGGGTCATTAGATGTTTGTTAATTACCAAAAACAATAGATTGAACATTAGTCTTGTCGGCAAAGGAAATCACACGTAAAATGAGGTCACGCACATGGTTTGACATTACATTCATGGGCTTAATTTAATTGAAATTTATCCAACGGACAGATAAGAGAATCTGGCAACTAAAAATCAGTGCAAAAAATAGCAGAAACAGATAAGATCTATATCTCTGCATAACATAATTACAATCCATAGATAAAACTATAAAAAAAGGGTTTTCTCAAAATTCGTCCTTTTTTCTTTTTTTTGTTCTTTCCATTTTCTACATATCTAAACCTAGCAGCAGATCTCTAGACGGAAATTTCAAAAAAAGGTTATTTTCCGGTAAAGTTTAAACAAAAAAATATATAGGGCTAAATACTATTAGAGTTAAACGTCAACAGGAGGAGCTAGGTTAAGGTCAAGGTTCAACTCCTTCCCCGGCTTACAGTCCACGACGGCCGAACACTCCGGTTCGCTCTCCACGGCAACTCGGAGCCCTAAACCGAGTCCGACCTCAACCGGGTCGAACCGGATCGGATAAACCCGGGCCAGCTCCGCCCTCAACGCCGCAGCCCGACCCGGATCCATGAAAAAACCAGCCGCCTGAGGAATCACGCCGGCGAGCTGACGGTGCTGCTGGTGACACGGGAACGGGAACCGCCTTCGGGGGGCGGCGGGAGGTCCAAGGTCGCCGGAGCCGGAGGTAGGAAGAGGGAAGTTGGTCTTGGCCTTGGAGCCACGGAACTCGCGAGCGGCTGCATCGTATGCCATGGCGGCGTCCTCGGCGGGGTCGAAGGGGCCGAGCCAGACACGTGTCTTCTTCCCAGGGTCACGTATCTCCGCCGCGTATCTCCCCCACGGTCTCTTCCTCACTCCCCTGTAATGCACCTCTCTCGCCTTCCCTCCGCCGGCGGCGACGGAGTGACTGCCGTTCTCCGATTTACGGGCCATCTCAACAGAGACAATGAAAACGGTGTGTACGAAGGAAAATGGTGGGTTACTTATATAGAAGGGATGTTTGTGGGGGGGGGGAACATGAGATAATTATGTGCGGAGGGCGTTT